ATTTTAGACATAAAATTGCATGGAATCTTGTTTTTAATTAAGTGTAGAGTCTCATAAAAAGGTGTGCTATATATTAAAAATATATAGCTATATATAGATATTGTGTTATTTCTGAACCTTTTGGAATTTAAGATAATAAATCAAAAACATACGATTTCTGCCAATTCTGTAAACGCTTTATTGATTAAGGTTTCAATTAGTTTTCGTAGGTTCCTCTTTTTTGCAAAGAAAAACATAGTTAAGTATTTGTAGCAATCTTTTGGTACGTTTTTAATACAATCCAAGTTCTTTTAAGTAGAATAAGTTGGGTAAGGTGTTTTTTTGTTGGCTTATTTTGTCGTCTACTTAAAAATGGCGCGTCAAAATAATGAACCGTCCCACAATCCTGCTAATTTTAATGACCAAAAATTATACTTAATTTTTGAAGTCTCTCTGGTGATCTGTTTTCGAATGTGAAAAAAAAAATAAAATTTTGTAGGCAAAACATAGTAAGCTAACGTAGAACCTCTAGCCCTCCACAGTTTGTAGGAAAACTTACACATAAGGGCAAAAAATTCAACTCATCATCATCATTATCAGTGGCATTAGAGCTCGTTATAAGCCAAAGCCTTCTTCAGAACAATCTTCCATTCGCCCCTGTCTCTGGCAACTCTTCTCCATGCTAACTCAGATGAATTTTAGATCATCCTCTATGTTATTTTGATACCTAAGTTTTTGTCTTCCTCTGGCTCGTCTTCCGACTGGTCCTCTGCGGTCGAAAATATATCCGATCGTTGCATCTTCTTAGATGCTAGAAGAGACGTCAATCGAGAACTTCACCTTTGCGAGTCGAATTCTGCTCTCTGATTAGCGCCTGATATCTGCTTCGCAATAACGTACAAAAGATTTGGAGAATATAAACCTAAAGTTCGAGGAAGCAATTCAGCATCAAAGACAGCTGAGAAACTGAAGTTGTTCAGTTTACTTTTTTGTTGATTTGATTATAACTTTCATTCATCGTATTTATTCCCAAATACATCTTATATTGTTAGGTTTCCTAGGTTTAAGTGCCAACTGTATCAAGAACGGTTTGATTTTAATAAAACTTGCCATTTGAAATCGTAGGCTTCCACGGCCAGAGTCAGAATTATAGTTTATTCGTCTTCCGGGTTTGGACCGTGTCATTTGTGAGTGACCCAAAAGTGGGTTCATCTCGACGTTTCGCTACGACGTTTCGCTCGTTTGGGTCACTCTGTTTATAGAAAAAAGACTCACACGAATCGTTACCTACATGCTTCATCACACCACCATCCTGCTCAAAAAAATTCTGTGATCAACTCTCTCATCCATCGGGCCATTTCGATTTCTGAACCTGACAACCTTAGAGAAGAACTTGGCCATCTGCAAAAAACCCTTGTCGCCAACGGTTACTCCAAGTCCACAATTCAAAATATTACACACCGACATCTACATCCCCCTTTACACCCTAGGACGACAAATTCAGAATCTTCTGGTAATACTCCTGTGGCTTTTCTTCCATATATTCGAAGTGTCACTGATAGGATTGGCAAAATTCTTCGCAAAGAAGGTATCAGGACTACTTTTCGACCACCCAAGAAAATCTCACAATATCTACCCTCTCCTAAGGACCCATTACCGCCCCTATCTTCCTGTGGTGTCTATTCTATTCCTTGTTCATGTGGACATGTGTATATTGGCGAAACTGGTCGTTCCGTCAAAACTCGGATTCAAGAGCATCAAAGATGCATTCGATCAGGTCTTTTCTCCCATTCTGCAGTTGCAGAACACTGCCAAGAAACCGGTCATTCCATATTGTTCGAAAAAACCCATATTATTTCTAAGAGCCCCTTTTTTTTATTCCAGGAAAATCCGCGAATCTCTAGAGATCCGAAAAAATCCACATAATATCAATCGAGAGGAAGGATACTACTTGTCTCCCATCTGGAATCTCAGTCTAGAGCCGCCGTCCGGTCCCGCTACCACGATGCAGCCACATGATTGGCCAGCGCGCGCTTCTTGACGTTCGCGCCACGGAGTGTGTCGATACGTCCCGACACCAAACCGGGAAGACGAATAAACTATAAACTTGCCATTGTTCACATCGTTTTATTTCAATATATTGAATTTAAAAATGTCCTGTATTATTCGTGTATAAGTTGTTATTTTTGCTCGCAACCGAATGTAAATTCGGAAATGTTTGCAAGCAAATCGTCGTCATGGAAATTCTTGTTTTTCTAATTAAATATACAAAATACGAATTTCCAATGTATTAAAATATAGAGTTCGAATACTGCATTTCTCTTAGTTAAAAATATTCAAAACATACACCGTTACGAAACAGGCATGTAATGAAAGGCTAAAAGATTAATTCCCCGGCAATTACCACGAGGAAACTTCAGCCAAGACTTCACCTGTCGTATTTCAATTCTCCAAACCGAATAGAAATTGAAGAGAATAATGTGCTTTATTTATCAATGTTGATAGTTTGCCGTATTTACCGAGATACTAATCTGTAGAAAACAAAGATGGAAACGCTGACGTCTAATTAGAGTTGTCATCTTACAAATGTACATATGCATAGTCGATTTAGTAATGATTATATCTTAACAGTTGTTATAATTTAGAGTGATACAAGAACAAGGAAATAATTAAATGACGAACAAAGACAATAATGCACTATAAAAAACGAGTGGAATTTGGACCTGCTGTCGACAAATTGGTAGATCATTAGATTTTTTTTATATTTTTAATATTTATAGATTTTTAATGTATATAGTTTCTGATAGTTTCCATCAATTCTCTTTGTCGTCTGTCCATCTGCTGGGTGATCCGTCGATAGCATCGATATGGAGTTGCAATTTTGTTCAAAGCCGAAACAGCTAGATAGACAGCTAGATATTAATATAATAATGGACGAAATAATACAAACCGTACGTAAAGGTAATCTTTTCAGAATGGGGAACAAAGAAATCCAAATATTATGTTATGCAGACGACGCCGCATTAATCGCCGAGACAGAAGACGAGCTCCAAAGATTAACACACATCTTCAATACAACAGCGAAGAAATGCAATATGATAATATCAGCAGAAAAACCAAATGTATGACAACATCTAAATACCCACTACGATGAAAAAACGAAATTGATAGGAAAATCATAAAACAGGAAACAAAGTTTAGATATCTGGGAATAGATATAACTAGGTAAGGAGATGTTGATAGACCTATATTAACATACACGGCGGAGACAAGACCTGACACATCTAAAACGAGACGACTACTAGAAACAACAGAGATGAAAATACTCCGACGAATATCAGGAAAAAGTCTGTTGGATAGGGAGAGAAACGAAAACATAAGAAGAGCATGCAATATAGAAGACATAAATGGATGGGTGACAAAACGGAAACAGGAGTGGAACGAACATATCAGTAGAATGGCAGATGATAGGATTGGCAAGGTTTTCCTTGCTTGTTTAATTCTTGATAGGATCTTTTTTTTTTTTGATTACACAGACTATTTACTCTCATATTTACTCCCAAATATTTTATGGAATTTATCTGTTCTATTATTTATTGGACCCTTGGCACACACATACGTTTATTGGTGTCTTTGAAAATACTAAAGTTTAATTTTGGAAACGTTTAGATGTAAACCGAATATTTCGCTGTGGTGAACTACTGCATTTGTTATATTTTGTAGTTATTCTGCGTTGCTTGCTATTACAACTGACCCATCATACGATGAGATTTATGCTGCGACTACTGCTCTGTGTTCAAGAGTGGCGGTAATGGGAAAAAGTGTTAACTAAGCAATGTTTCAGAGTTGACGTACTCTTGATTATTGTCTTGACACCGTATGGTCGCAATGCTGTGCGACAGCATTTTCTCCCAACTCGTGGGAATAAAATAGACACGGAACAAAAAGAGAATGACACAGCAGAGGATGACCGAATGATGAGCTGAATAATGCAGCTTCGGCTTGTTGGATGTCGCTGGCTCGTGAATGCAGGATCTTCTAACATTAATACTAAGAAATGCGTTGTTCTTATCTTCTTCTTCTTCTTTTGGCATCATAACCCTGGATGGGTCTTTGCCTGTCTGGCTATGTCCTTCCATTCAGATCTCTCTTGTGCCCTTCTTCTCCATTGTCTTATGTTCATTGTTTTCAGGTCGTCTTCCACGTCATCCAACCATCTCGTTCTGGGCCTTCCTTTTTTTTCGCCTTCCTATGGGCTTCCATTGTAACATTTTCTTTGTTGTTTTTGCATCGTTTTATTATTATCCCTTTTATAGCAACCGCCATATTCTCCAGATTTGGCTCCCAGAGATTATTATGTTTTTTAACTCGAAAAAAATTAGTTTGTGATTAACTCCTTCTAACGCAAGTTGCTCTTAATATCTACTTGTAGGAGTTAGATTTATCTCTCTACAATGAATATAGTTATAATTTGGGCGAATATTTCATTGCGTCAAGTAGAGTTTTTATTGCAAAAAGTCTTTATTTTGTCACCTATCGAAGAATGTCCTTTGTGTTTTAGAAATTTCGAAACAATATCAAATTATCGAAATAACGACGAGATTCCGCTTATAAAAATTACCGTACAGCTAACAACAAATAACTTTTATGAAACTTATAAACTTCTAATTATTTCTTTAATTCAATTAAGGAAAGAACTCAGCTCGGGTCCAATTAAGAACATTTTTTAAATCTAAGATCTTGTTTAATCATAGGTAAGCTTATTAGTGAGTTCGCCAATTAAATCTTAAATATTAACTGTGGAGGAAAAGTGGAATCGACCAGGGCAGCGAAATCTCTTAATTAATTCATGATTTAGAGCAACTGTTTTGTCATCGTTACACTCCCCTTCGGATAATAAATTAGAAGTTCAGATTATCATTTAATTATAACGCCGGCATGTTGAATTGTTGGAAAAAGACGGAATGAATCTCTTGCTGCAATGTTCGGTTAATCAAGAGGAGATTAGAGTTATAATTAAGATGAAAATATATTTTTCAATTAGCAAATTCTATATTGCAAGATCCATGTTACAAGTGGCTATACAGGATGATCTAAATTTGATAGATTGTGTGGCGGTATGTTTAATGCTTGTAAATCTATCAAATTTTAGGTACAATAAATTTGATCAATCTTAACAAGATGATCAATCTTAACAAGATGACTTCCAAGATCTCCTGATCTTGGAAGTCAATTAATATGGCAGGTGCAATAGCACTACGGCTTTCAACATTCTCGTCATGCCTTCTTGTTGTCCAAAACATAAATTTTGAACATGAGATTCATTCTTCTTCCATTGCCGTCTTCCAGTCGGAGGTCGAGTTATCATCTTCACTATCTGTTGTCTAACTACTACTGCTCTGAAGAGTTCTATTGACCTGCATTTAATCCAGTCTCATAATTTTTTCAACCATGACTCCAACTCTTCCCACACTGCTTCCTCCTCTTACCTTTCCCTGTATTATCAATCGAAGCATTTCATATCGCTGTCACCTCATTAGGTGTCCCAGATATTGTGTCTTTCTTATTTTTATTATGTTTATTATTTCATATTCTTTGCCCATTTCTCGCGATACTTCCTTGTTCGTTTTATTCTGTGTCCATGCTTCCTTCTGTAACACATTTCAAATAACTGTAGCTTATTTATGTTTCCTTGTGTCAGTGTTCAGCTATTCTCTTGTATTGTCTTCGAACAACTGATTGATGTATTCTGTCTATCGCTTTAGTGAGGTTGATTATTTAGCGTTAATGATAATTCAACGCAAACATAGTACAGTAATAGGAAAATGTAGCAAGCATGGGGAATCAACAGATTGTTAATAGATTTCAATAAAGCAAAAGTATTGTAAATGGTGGAAGTAAATTCACAAAGCAATACCGAGATCACCTGATTACCTTATGTCAATCAAATTAACCACACATTGAGCGAAAAAGACTTAGACAGCTGTGCAAAAAATATAAGGATCTGAATGTTGATTTAGAATATTCGGTTGTAGGAGCAAAAATAAAATTAACAATACCAAAAATAAAAACAAAAAAATCAGGGTAGTAGAAGTAAAAAGGTTATAAGATTAAAAAATGGGAAACATGTTGGCTTCAAATTAATAAATGCTAAATTAATGTATTTCTTTCTGAGTTCTATATCTTACATAATTTCTTGCTATAAAACCTGAAATCCAAATCGTATTTTTAAAACTTTAGAGTGCACTTTAAACAAAATGTCACTCAATATAAACAAATGTCATAAAATGACATTCTCGAGGCAAAGAAATCCAATTACATTTGTTTACTACATAAATAACTTGCCATTAGCCTCGAAAAATGAAGTATTAGATTTGGGAATTTGGTTAGACACCAAACTGTCATTCTCAAGCCACATTAACCAAGTAACAAACAGAGCGATGAAAGTGCTGGGATTTATCCAACGCACATCTGTGGATCTGTCTTTATTTACATTTAAAAGACTTTATTGTGGTCTCGTTGGGCCCATTCTTGAGTTTGGATCAGTTGTATGGTCCCCATCATACCACTGTTACATTCAACAGATTGAAAGAGTCCAGAATAAATTTTTGAGGGTAGCAGCCTATAAGAGTGGATACAGGAGAGAGGAATACGACTATCAGTGGGTAAGAGATAGTCTTAACTTACCAACACTTGAGTCAAGGAGGACATTGTTAGATTTATGTTTCTTACACAAAGTTATCAATGCTTTTATAGATTGTCCTCAACTCTTATCGCTTGTTAGTCTTAAAGTTCCTAGTAGAAGCAACAGACAATCAGAAATCTTTTCGGTGCCATTTCACCACACTAATTATGGTATCAATGAACCAACTACACGATTGGTCCGGAGTGCTAATAGCTTGCCAATACAAATAGATATTTTTGACTCCAAAATTAGTTTGTTTAAAAAACAACTAAAAAATATCTTACAATAAGTTGGTTGTACATCTGTATTATTCTTATATGTTTGTATTATTCTGAGGTGTTTGTTATTTTAATAATTTATTGTTGTTAAGGTGTAACTTTTTAAAACTTGTGATTGTTATTTTAATAATATATTGTTTTTAAGATGTAACTTTGTAAAAATTGTAAGTAAATGGATGCCGTATATATATATAAATAAATAAATAAATAAATAAAATTTCTTGGGTGGCTAAAATCACAACTGAAGAAGTATTAAGACGCGCTGAAAATTACTGAATACAGTTAAAATAAGAAAAAATCATACCTGGGGCACATTTCGAAATAATAAATACTCTTTCTTAAACACACTCATGCAAGCAAGAATATATATGGAATAAAAGACGTGGGAAGAAAACGAAATTTTGGTTGAGTACTACCAGAGATTGGAGTAATTTCAGTGTAGAACAGATATTTCACGTTGCAAGAGATAGGGAAACGTTTAAAGAAGTGATCGCCAGCCTTCGCTAGAAGACGACACGTGTAGATTTGCGAAATTTTTGGAATGTAATAATTGTCAGATTAATTTCAATAGCAGTTTGAAATAGAGAATTTATTCTATTGTACTGTTTATTTTAATTTATTAACAGTCTTCTAACACTAACAACACAATTAATTTATAACATTTATTTACTTATAATACAAATTTGTATTATCAACTGACCCTAAAAATCTAAATTCTTCTTTGTATATAGTGCGACTATGCTTCTAGACCTCTCGTGACGTCAGAATATCGTAGATCGCCGTTAGAATTGGGATTAGTGGCTTAGCAAAGGCTTAAGAGTAACACTATCATAGTTTTTAATTAGTAATTGTGTATCATAATTCAAAGGGATTGGAGTGAGAGGATGGAGAAGATAGGCAGTCTACAGAGAAAGATCGAAAGATGAGGCAACCCAGGAAGGGCTGTAGTGCCGTCAGATGGTGATGGTGTAAAATAATTCGAGTAGCAGGTATTCAAGAGTTTTCAATTTCTCGTTGTAGTTCCTATGGTTCATTCGACAATGCCCATTCGGTTATACTATTATTCCAAGTTCATTTTTGTTTCAATGAGAATGGTATTTTGAAAATCTTAATCAGATTTTATATAAAAGTCGTAACTTCAATCAAAATCATTCTAATGTAGAAGTTCATTTCCTGTAATCTTAAAATTAACGTTTTCTTCAGATTATTATTGATTTTGACTTAATAAAATTTGAGACTTATTCCTTATAATTTTTCGAAGAAACAGGTATCACAAATTTATAATAATATGTAGAATCTTTTTGATTCGATTATCACGACAAATCCTGCTGTTAGAAAAATATCTTTGTTTGTAAGGATAAGAATTCCTGTGGTTTATTTTTGACCTTCTACTCGCATGACACACAACAAAAACAATGATTTTCCTTCTGTTTTCTACATTTAAACTTTATTTTTTGGCCTCCACCCAAACCAAATTTCCAAAACATAATTAAGTCAATTCAAAGAACATCATCATTTGTATATAAATTCATTGAATGAAGGTATTTGAAAGTCAGAGGCAATTGTGTAAAAATAGCTTTCATTTACAAATTTCCCGCTAGTATTTATATTAGTGAAGAAAGATGAAATCCATATTTACCAGAAATTCCTCTTAGTTGAAAACAATGGGAGAAATCTCCCCAGGAATTTTAAAAAATATTTCGATTGTTCTTGTTTGTAAATATCCTGGCATGTTTTTAGCTAAGGATTAAAAAGTAGTATTTTTTTTAGCCTTGTTTATAAAATAACTAAGACGTTTCTTTATACCTAATAAGAATTATTTAGTGTACGAGGGATGTAACAGAACCAGTGCTTTCCTACAACAACCTTTTATTATCCCTAGTTTTACGCTTCTTCTTCTTCTTCTTGTAGTGCCTATCCATTTCGGACGACCATCATGGCAATCTGTATTTTGCAAACTGCTGCTCTGAACAGATTTGTGGTTGTTGTGTTTAACCACGTACGTAGATTTTTCAGCAATAAAATCCTTCGCCGTCCTGGTCCTCGTTTTCCTTCTACTTTTCCTTGTATAAATAATTGCAGCAACCCTTTTCTTTCGCTATTCCTCATGATGTGTCCGAGGTATTCGAGTTTAACAATTCTTTTTCTTTTTACATTCTTAATAAAACGTCCTGGTTACTAACGTGGTCGGTATAGGATATCTTCAGGATTCAACAATAAAGCCACATTTCGAAAGCCTCAATCTTCTTGCAGGTAGCGTCGGTGAGAGTCGACGACTCAACTTCCTACACCATGTTTATTTACTAGTAACCGGATGTTTATTGGTACTGATAAATCATGGTATTTGAATAGCTTAGCCATTTTTTGAAATGCAGATCTTAATTTCTTTATCCCACATTTTATTTCTAGGAAATGGTGCCAATTTTCATTGACATTCGTATCAAGATATGTAGGTGTATGTTTTTACTCTTTCTATTTGTTGACCATTCCCACTAATTCTTTCATTTTGTTGTTGTTTCTTCTTACAGCCGGTTTCAAAAAGTAAAGTTACCTTGCGGTTAAGAGATAACCAACGGTTACACTGAAATATAGGTTTCACAATATAAGATCAACAGCTCGGGTTGTGGTTAACCTACAAAATTTTAACCCAAAGTAAAAGCTGTGGTTTAGAGCTTGACCAGGATATCCTAACCTAATTTCGAATTTCGTTTTGTTGACATTGACAGCGTGTAGACAGACACGTAAATTACTAATTAATCAGATATGGATTTATATGATGTAAATGCTTTTAGCAGTGATGAGGAATCTGGCAGACCAAGAATCATTAGGCAGAGAACAAATCATTTTGCAAAACTAGACCATGAAGATTTTTTCTGTCGGTTTAGATTCTCAAAGAACACAATTGAAAATATTTTGGAGCAAATTGAAGATACAATTTCTTATTTTTATATTTCAAGCATTAGGAAATAATTGTTCCTTTTCTGACGAAAAGTTTGCTTGAATATTTTTGTCGTTTAATGTTTTCTGTTACAATTAAAATTGTTACAATTTTAATTGTAACAGAACTTGAAAATGAGAATAATATTTATATATTGTTTTCGATCTAATGTGACAAATGTGTCAGAACTCATCTATACTGGTCAATGTTCATAAT